TGACCTCAGATATGTGAAATGAGCAAATTTTTAGAAGCCAAAGATGCTTGATGGAAGCCAAGAGCGGGAGGGAGAGGCACAGGGAGCCTCTCTCTGGAGAGCACTGAGTGTGTTTGTGATGACGGACTGTTTGGGCAGAGGGGAGATAATAGTGGCATCACATTAAAATACCGTCACTGTGAGTCCGTTTTAAACGTGGAGCTTGTGTTAGCCGATGTTTGGGTCACTGGTTGTAGTGTATGCTTTCACCACAATTACACAAAAGGGAGAATAACTTATTTTCTATAAAACCAATATTTTGAGATCCTCAATGAATACTTTCTTCCATGCATAAAGTACACAGAAGTTTCTGGATGGATTTTAGCTTTTCAAAGTTTAACATTCCTATGTCCACTTGTAACAGAAATAACAGAAGCCTCTGGCTTTCCCAAATCTAAAATGTTAATTACTTAATCAGGAATTTGAAACATTTTTTAACACAGACTGCATCATTATACAACACAGACTTCCACGAAACCCGAATTTCCCAGACATAGAGCATAGAAAATCGATATGGTAAAAATTCCACAGGGGAGTCTCATGCTCAACTTGATTTGAGATGCACTGGACTAAACTGCTCTCAGTATTCTTTCCAGCTTTTAAATTTCTGTGACTTGGAACATTGTTTGTTTTTTAATTTAGAGAAGTACAAAGGTTTATCTCTGAGGCATATCAGTCAAATTTATGATATTCTTGATGCTGATCCTTTGGCCACAAACGTAACTCGCAGATAGAAAAATGGGAAAAACTAATTACTTTGAGAATTACTTTATCATATGATTTTCAGAAATCAATTATGATAAATGAGAGAACTAACTACAGAGGAACCAATTCTTGCTATAATTAATGGCTGTTAAGAATTTGCTCTCTGGGCTACAAAGGTAAGTGATTAAGTACAAATGCAGTCCCTCCACTAGGGCTGAGAAGCATTCTACACGATCCTTGACCACCATCGAGGTTCAGGAAAGCAGGTGAGTCTGAGACACCGTCCAGACCAGAGGGACTGAGGAGATACTGGACACAAGGATGTATTCTACAGTGGCTCCTGAATCAGAGAAACAACATTAGTGGAAAAACCAGCGGAATCTGTAAAAAACCCAAGTCTGGGGTTAGGTTAATAGAAATACACCAATGTTGGTTTCTTAGTTGGAACAAAGGTGCAAGGGTAACACAAGATGTTAATAATGGGAGAAACGGGGTGAAGGGCTTTCAGGAACTCTCTGTATTGTCTATGCAACTTTTCTATACCTCATCCCCAAATTAAAAAGGGTTATTTAAAAAATTAACTAAGGAAAAGATCAAATTAAATTAATCTTACATTTCTATGCCATATAGTCATGTTAACAGCCTGTTTATATTGCCTCTACAATCTGAAAAGCAGGAGGGCCATTCTGCTTTGTGAGAGCTTTTCTTTCTGCACAATGGCGGATGGCTACTTTTACTAGCTATCTCTGCTCTCGCTGTAACTTTCTCCTAATTCTTAAATCATCTTGCCTGTTACCTGGATATGAAATATTTCTGAGGTCAGGAATGGAATTATCCATCCCTGAGTAGATATCAGGCTTAGTAAATGATCTATTCTCAGGTCTGACATGATTTAGTTTTACTTTTCACAGGGTCTCAAATGTATCATCTATAAGTGATTAAAAAGTTTTTACTGTCTAATTTGCGGCACTAATTGGTGTCCTCTTAAGCATTTTACTCAAAAGAAAATGTTACTGAATATTTGATAAATAACTCTGACACCCCCGTTTTTCACTACTGTTGTTGCTTTGCGCCTTTAAGTCCATCCCCCCATAGCGGCCCCACAGCGCGGAGGAGAACTGTCCTCCACAGGCTGTCCTCGGCAGATGGACAAATTTTCCATCCAGGGACCTTGTGTTTATCTTAAATTAACCATTGAACCAGGAGGGCTTCTTACACAACAGTTAAGAGTTCTTGATACTTCAGAGGTTAATTGACTGTTTAAAAGACCTGACCAGCTTCTATGCAACTTTAGTAAAACTTTAAACCTGAGCCTTGCTTTGACTTTACAACAACCCTTTAGCTATATTCTTATGCTGGAACATTTAAGATGCCAAGTCTGAAGAAAAAACATGAAGCCTGGTGGTTATCCAATCTGTTTCTGAACGATAAATTCAGTACACTTAGTAGGAATATGTAAAGATGAAATGCATGCCCTTTTAGAAAGGGTTACTTCATAAATACAAAGAATCATTATTCAAGCCTATAACAGGTCTGCCAGTACCATAGTGCTTCATTATATGTAATGTTTCCTTTTTCCTGTTGAAAATTCAGTTCGACCCCAATGACCAAAATATTTTTATATGTGTTTACTTGATACGGATGAGAAACTGTGAAAAACAGGCTATGTTTTGAAGGGCAGGAGTAAAGTTGAATTTTTATAAAGGACAGCTATGACAGACCTGATACAATATAGTCCCTATTATCTGGCATGGTTGGAAAATGAGGTTAATCACATATTGTGGCTTATAGGGGGTTACCATAGAGACCATGCACATATTATCTGATTCAAGAATAAAAGAAAGATAATATACACTCCACACTGAAACTATATCGAATGTAATTTAATTTTACTCTGATGAGTCAGACCCACTTGATGATCTTGCAGTGCCTCAGAACAGTCATTGTGAACATCGCAATTATCTATGCACCCTACTCATATAGAAGTGCTAGCTAATGGGGTTTTTGAAATAGCAGAAATCTGAATAATATTAAGGTTTTCTGGGCTTAAAAATACTTACATTCAATAAAATAGCCTATTGTGCCTGTAAATAAAGAGATCTGATCAACATAATGACAGTCTTGATGAGGTCGTGACAGGAGCAGAAAAATGTGCTGGGCTGTCAACTAGAGAGGACTTTTATTTCACTAGTTTATTAGTTGTGACCATGCAGAATTCTAACCACAGAGAATGAGAGTCATTTGAAAGGAGCTAGCCTTATGCTTAATATGTACAGTTAGAAAACATCCAACCTCCTACTTATTTCAACTTTAATAGAGTTTCACTGATTGACGAACATATTCAAGTTTTCCTTTACTTACTCTATCAACACTTGCCTATTGTAAACTTTGATAGCACTGTTATCAGCAGAAGCACTTCCCAAACTCTCTTTTTCGAAGAGTTACCTTATCTGTTTGTCTTCATTGGATGTACGAAATGTGTCCATATGCTAAACCCACTCTGTGAACTCCTATAGATCAGACAACAAGTTAAGTCCTGTTCCTCAAGTTCATTTGCTCATTACTATGATCTGAAGAACCTCTCTCAACATTTCAAAGAAAATTAGCATTGTAGGGAAAACAATAGAAGAAATATTAGGCTCAAGTCATAAACACAAATTAGAACCACAATAAAATAAGTAAATTTTTCAAGAAATCTAAGTAAAAATTATTTTCATTTTGAAAATAAAAACAAACTATTCCTAAATTTCATCTATAAAAGGCAGAGGAGACTACTAGATTGGACATTGCTCTGACAGACTTGAAATTTTGCCAGTTTTTTCCATGTATGTATGTAATCTGGGAAAGTGGGTTTTACAATGACTTTTACCAGATGGACCACTGACCATCAAGAAATCCACCCTTTATGTTCCCTGAAACTACATTTTGAGAGACTTTAATCTTAATATCCTGGATGCAACATTGATGATCCCCAAATGCAAAGTTTTAATTGCATTAATTGCCCCCACCCTCAATAGGATCTCAGTTAATTACAAACACACATACGTGCATACATAAACACAGATCTTGGTCTACTAAAAACTTTATAAAGGTTGTTACAAGACTAAAGAAAAGAGCTTAGAACACTTTCAAATTGCCAAAAATTTTGGAGAAACATATGCAGTATGTCTATAATAATCAAATGAATAATTGTTTAATCTTCAAATGACACCACCCACCCAAAAAAAGGCTCAATGGGAAAATGTTTGTGCCCAGCATGGACCTCAGATACATACTTTATCTTAATCAGTAAGACTTTACATGAATATCAAAGCCCAAGGTGATACATATGTGGGTAAAGGAAAGAGTGAGCGAGGAAAAGGAGAGCGGGACATGGAGAGGGGAGACAGAGAGGTGTTCGCACGATGTCCATCTACTTCCAGAAGTAGAGCGAAAGACCTCTAATGCAAGCTTGGCGACTCCTATTTCCTGGGACAATGGAATCATTCCATTTTAACAAATAGTTAAAAGAGGGGAGAAAAAGGCATGTTCTTAAAAATAATGGACAGAAAAAAAAATAATGGACAGTTTGACCTCACCATTTTCTTGTATCAAAACCTAGCTTATACACATATCACACAAGTCCTCACACAGTTCTGCATATTCCACTTCTCCTGAGCCCTGTGCCTGACCCTTAGAAAAGACCCTTCCAGTATTGCCAGGGATTGCATAACCCTGCGGAAAAGGCTGAACTAATAAAAAGTATTAATAACCCAAATTGGCACCACTTGTTTTGATGTGCAAACAGATCACAGAAAACAACCCCCAAAACCATTAGCCATAGGTAGAAAATTTAGATTAAATAGATCTGGGATCAACTGGTTAATAAAACTCAAGAATTCTAATAAAAACCTCTGACAATCGTGCTTCAAGATATGCTTCTTTTCACAATGAACTCATCTTTAAGAAAACTTCTGTTCTTTGATTATCAATGTGAATTTGTTACATAATAAGGTGAAAGTGATCTTCTGTGGACGAGCGAGCAGAATGTTCAACTTTTAAAATTTCACAAAATCTAAGGGAGTAGGGGTCAAAGCCTTTCCTGAAAAGAATTATGCTGTATTTGTTTCAGCATAATGGCATTGGGACCTACAGTATAAATGCCTTCATGATATCTTCTTTTCTAGTTATACACACATGAAAGAACAGAAAGATACCGAGAAAACCCCTCAAATCATGCATAATGATAAAAATCACGGTTCCCAGTAGATACTTACTGCTGGGTTTGCATCAATGGCATGTTAGTGCTGTCATAATTGTCTGCATGTAGAGGAGGGATAATTTCCCCAGTCACAGGGTGAAAGACAGGAAGCGTCGACAGTGGCCATGCTATCTCTCTATTCTTGGACATGTCGCGAAGCTCTTTGGTAGACTTCTGAATAGCACTGTGATGGACCAACTGGATACTAGGCCAAAAAGAAATAAAAGAATACAAATGTAAAATCATTCATCATCCTGAAAGGATCATCAATTTAAAAAAGTTATGGAAATTATTTTTCTTGTAAAACAAGAAAACATGGTTGTGCCTTGGACATTTTACATGCTATCTCAGAAAGAGACACATTCCACAGTTTTAACATAGAAAAACTGAAAATTATAAACTAAATTTTCAATGATCTATTTTTCATTAAACGAGGCTAGGAAGCATTGTGTTACTATTACGACCTTAAGTAATAAACTAGTACTCTATTTAATTTCTACGATTAAGAGAAATCTACTGTAGCTTTTGCATGTTTGCTTCTGGGGGGATATTTATAAATACAGAAGTTTCATTTTATGGTAGGCTATTACTGTAGATTCAGGAACATTTGTATGAAAGATCTTTTCCTCTACTTTCTAGTTTATAGAAATGCAGATGGGGAAATCACATACCAGTGGCATTTTAATATTCTGATTCTGAAGTGGTTTAGGGTTTCATTTTTAATCTATGCAATCTTAGTTTTCAAATCCTTTTTATTTTTAGTTTCTATCATCTAAATATATCTATTTAGAAAGCAGCGTTCAAATTTATGAAATAAACTATGACACATGATAGATGGAAAAACAAAAGGCATGACATACATGTACGGAGCATGATATGCGACTGAGAAATGGAAAAAAATATCGAGAAAATAACAGGAAGAAGACACTTACTCTGGTGTTTGCATGTTTCTCTTTTCCCTAGAAACAAAACAAAATTTATGAATTAAATAATAGCATTGATATTTGGAACATTAAGACTATATGCTCACGGGGTCTTGCAAGACGTGGAAATGCTGACAGTGTTATTATTAAATGCAAACAGGCAGCATTTGCCACAAGCTTTATGACATTCTTGGATGAGCACACATATAGAGATGGAATACTGATGAGAAACACACAGAAAAATGAAAGAAAAATAATGAAAGTTAAGAATCAAGCACTTGATTGAAATAAATCCTATGACATAATGAAATCAAGTTACATGTAAAAATGGGAGAATTTGTTACTTGCTGCTTTATTAATTTTTTTTCCTCTTTGGTTTGATTATACTTGCTGACTTCTGGATAATCTCAGGGGATTATTTTAATTGATAATGATATCCTGCAAGGACTAACTATTCATGAAGCAAATATTCATTACTTCAACGGCATTCTTATTTTCATTAATTTACTCCTTAGGTTTTCTTTTCTTTTTAAATTTGATATTTTAGGCATTTAGGTATTGTCAACCCTTTTTGACAGAAGAAAATTTTCAAGATGAATTGTAATCATCACTTTGAAGCAAACGAAGACAATTTATTTATTTAAAGTGTAATTACCAGGCCTATACATTTTGCAGAATCTCTGTTTACACATGACGGCTTATGCAACCAAAATATCTTGCCTCAATTATTCTTGAGACTGTTTTAAGAGCATGGATTTACATTTAAACTTAATCATTTTTGAATAATTATGTCCTCTAGTTTGATTTTCTAAATTCAACACCAGTTTAATCCCTTTTGAAGCAAAACAAACTACAGTTTGATTTCAATACAATTCCAACTCAGTAACAAAACATTTTATAAACTAAATGAAACTATACTTCTAATGGACTCATATGCTGTTATCTTAGTGGCTTCTATACTGCCCCATTAGTGTTTTAAAGTACTCACACTCCTTCCCGTCGGCAGCACATGATATAAGCAAGTATTAGAAAAAGGACCAGTGCCACTGCCGAGGGTACAGCCAGAGTAATTAGGAAATCCGTGTAATAGTCTCTGCTTTTCAAAGAATCCGAAGGGGGTTTGTATTCTCCACCATCAGGTAAAATGCCCTCGCCACGAATTACTTCCTGATAGGTGGGCACTTGCTTTGTTTTGTCAACCTGATACAAAAGAAGACAATTACACATTATTAATAATAATAGCTTAAATAGCTTGAAACATATTTTATGAGCTAGACATACCAAAATATATTTTGATAAATTATCTAAAAATTCACCTTTCCCAGTTACTTTATCACCTTTAACTTTCAATGAAATTGATTAGACTTACAAAGAGGTGATGAATATAATATAAATTGAAATATCTTGACCTACTTACTCTCTTCTTCACATCACATAGATACTGTATATACTCAAGTATAAGCCGGCCCGAATATCAGCTGAGGCACCTAATTTTACCACAAAAATTGCATTAAAAATGTGCTGAAAAACTCGGGCTATACACAAGTATATGCAGTACATACCCACATACACAATACATGTTTGTGTGTATGTGTGTGTATATATATTGGGGGGAGGGCGTGCATAGGAACAAGTGAGTGTATGTACTATGGTGGTATAATGGGGTAAAGGTCCACCAGTGGCTCTATGAGAGAAAAGATGTGGGAGCTATCTGCTCCCAAAGATGACACCCTAGGAAATCTTCAGGGGTAATTCTACTCTATTTCACAGGGTCTTCACAAACCACTATAGATCTGACAATACACACAAGGACATACAGATAAAGAGAGACCAGAACTAAATGCGCTGCCACCAAGGAGACTCAGCTCAAGAGTGGCTCTTTCAAGCAGAGCAGACCACTTCATGGAGTTCCCAAAGCTGCAAATCATCCTGAAAGCAAACTGTTCTACCTTTCTCCCACAGAGGGGCTGACGGGTGTGACCTGGGGTGCTTTACCAATGTGCCACCAGGGTGTCTATTATACATCATACATACATGTATTTTTAAAAAATCATTGTTATTTTTCAGCCTCTGTTCTCCAAATCATAAGTCCTTCTCATTACTATAAAATTTCTTGCTTCCTGACAAGTCTCTAGGAGCCCTGGTAGCATCATGGGTTAATAGGTGGGTTGCAAGGCTAATCATTCAAACCAATAGGCTCCTGTAGAGGTAGGTTTACAGACTTGGAAACCCTCTGGAGCAACGCTACCCTGCCTCACGGGGCTCAGGTCACTATGAACCGACCCAATGGCTGTGTTTGTTTGTTTTAGTGGGGTAGAGGGTATTTAAGGAAGATTAATAGAAAATCTCTTGGGAACCATAAACTGATTGGTAATCAGGTATGGTGCCTAAGGTGATGTTTTTTTTAAAAAAAGGAAACCTTAGGGTCAGTTTCCCATTGAGCACAGCTGTGATCTTCCTCCCCTGCAGCTGGCAGCAGTACATTTCAGAAAAGATCATTTGAGGAACATGAAACCTATGAAATGTTCTATGATTACTAAATTTTATCCTTGGATCAAAAGTGCAAAATACTAGCACCATGTTATTTAATTCTATGTTAACTGAACTAGGGTATATATATATAGTCATGTGACCTTTACCACATTTGGCATATTTAAAAATGGAGTGAACATAACTCTGGCAATATTCAGTATCCTTTCTCACAAAACTTACTTGAAAATGTTTGTTAATAATCTAGTACTAGTGAAAATTTTGTGCCAAAGAATTAATAGTCTGCCTCCTTTTTAAGAATGAGAACTAAATAACTCATGAATTTTTATCCTGGAAGTTAAGAAGCTTGTTATCAAATTTGGTTATATATAAAATACATAATTTGGGTCCTATTTTCATTTATTTTATATTTTATTGTATTGTATTTATCATCTGACTTTTAAATTTAGGCCTCAGAAACTTTCTGTGGTAAGATATGACGTATAAATATGCATGCAATTTTAAAAATGGTAATATATAAAGCATTTTTCCATAAATAAAAGTTTCTAAGGTACAGGGCATTTTTAAACTTGTGGAAGTTAGATAATCTTCCTAAACATAAACTTATTTTACAGTCTAATTACAGGTAAAATAGTATTTTTAGGGATTGCTGTCTACTAACTCTGGAGACAGACCCCATTATAATTAGGACCCTGACAGAAATACTGAGCTTTATAACTGCAACACTTATACTACACATATGTGGTAATATTTTAATTATGTCATTTCATTTAGGAGGGAAAAGGAAGAGCATTATTTTCCTAAGACATGAGGGGCACAAAAAGGCATCCGAGCCACAAGGGGTTCTAAATGCTGCAATGTAAGTGATATGTTCTCTGATACTGGATTCTAGAAAGTTCCCTACGGCTGGTGCATTAAGTCATGACGTGAGAATTGTGTTTAAGTGTCAATTATTTTGTTCAAATGTCAACTTTAAAATATGATCTAAGTTGGTCATCACCAATCATCAGAAATTGACAGACATTAAATCTAAAGGTCATTAAGCATTAAACCAGCTTTCTAGTTTCTAGATAGCAGAATCAAAATATTAAAATATGATATAATTTACATTTGTTACTACTGACATGTGAATGAAAGGGGGTAATATATGGTAATATATAAGGCATTTTTCCATAAATAAAAGTTTGTTTTAGTGGGATAGAGGATATTTCACCAAAAAGCTTTGTGAAAAATTCTATTATCTTTCCATCCCATTTTTTCTGTGCAGTTTTTGAAGCTCCCTCATGTATGTGTTCATATGTATATTTATGAAAACCTGCTCACATGCAAATTAAAAAGCTATTTAGAATAGATTACTTACTTTTTATAAACTTATGCTTACGGTTATGAGGAAAGTTCAGACTTGTCCCCATTTGGAAATGTTTCTTTTCTCTTGCACGTCCCCTCCAATGTGAGTTCTTAGGGTACTGAATCTTGGACAATATTTCTTTTTCAGATTTGGTATTGTACTCTGGCCTCTTCTTCCAAAATTGGACAGTGGCAGCATATTGAAGAAGAGACATTTTGCAGATGCCATACTGACTCCATAATCTCCCTGATTAGGAGCCACCTGGATGTCCAGGGGTCCTTCTGGACCACCTGCCAAGCTAATCCAGCCCAGGAAGTAATGAAGGGTCGAGTTAGTACAAAAGCAGAGCTGTCCCTCAGTGAATGGATGTTCTGTCAATGAGCTGGCCAATCCTTAAAGTCAAGGCAAGTCAATTCCAGTGAACAAAGTAAACTCAGGATTTGTCCCTAAAAGCAATTCAGGTTCAGACAAACTTTACCTCCAGCCACATCACTAATTACATTTGTAAAAACAACTCACCAATGAAATTTTGCACCAGTCAATGTAAAATTGAGTACGGAATTTTTTATCACATGTTATGCCAGGCTCCATTTCTTGACTGCATCTCAATTGGTTCTGTGGATTTTTGACTTCTCGTAAACAAGAAGAAAATGGGACATCGGCACCAACCATGACATAAACTCTGTGAAAAGGTGAAACGCTCAGGTTACCCTTTAAGAAATTGAAAACACTGAAAGACAATCTACCCTGAAAGCAGGACTTATCTTTCTGAATTGAAGGATTATCTAGAATCATCTCTAAGGTGGGAGCTTGGGTTTCAGAAGCAGTGATTCACGGAGGGGCTTCCTTTCACGTGTTCCTTTATCCCACCAATATTTACTAAGTGCCTTGGTGTCCCAGACAATCAACTCCAAACTAATTTCTAAAAACTTTACATCATCCTATTTACTTCCATTCAAAATCCTGATGTGCCACAATCTGCTTAATGCACTTGGTAGCTATCCTTCAACTGCGTTTAAAACACTTACTGAAGATAAAGTCTTTAGAAACTAACAGGGTGATTAAAGTAATTACAACTAGTAAATGTGCACTTTACATTTCAGTTTAGTCTACGCGGTGAAAGGGGAGGTATGAAAGCAGTCGCCAGTCTGCCTTGTAACCCAACGAAAGTGACGCTCGTGGGCTTTTCTACTCGTCAAACCCCGAACTTGGGGCCTGGTCTCTCATTAGAATTTCTCTCAATCTTTTATCTAAGCAATTCATTTAATTACAGAGCAATCTGTTACTGGTGTGTATTAGCGAACACACAGAAGGAAGATAAAATTTGCTTTCCTTGGTACGTACATTAGCGTTTGCCACTGCAGCACGGACTCCAGTCACATGTCACCAGAGGGGCCCTACACGACAGAGCAGAAATGCAGGCAGAGGCTTTCCTAAGCGACAGTGGTCTTGGAGCCGATGACCAGGTTTGTCTTTTCTCCTGTGGAGCCACTGGATGGCTCAGTAACTTTTCAGCTAGCAGTTCAATATTTAACTTTTGCACCACCAGGTTACCTTATCTTACCAGCTGGGACTAAAAAAATTACAATAAGAATTTCACCATAAAACAGAAAGTAATGACAATATTAGTTAGGAGCATATTTCTAAGTTAGTGAGGAGCAGCCTAAGAAGAATGTTGTATGTCTTTTAAAATATAGATCAATGCAAAAGAATATTACTCAGAATAAAATATATATATATAAGGCACTGATTCATGTTGCAATGTACACAAACTTCAAAAACATTATGCTAAATAAGGAAGCCAATCACAAAAGACCACAAAAATTTGTGCATTCGTATAAAATGTCCAAAATTGGCAAATTTGGAGACACAGAAAAGTAAATTAATGCTTGCCTCAGGTTCTCAGTGAGTGAAGTTAATGCTGAGGGGCACAGAAATAAAAGGGTCAATGGAGAAGACGAAATGCTCTGAAGTGGATTGTGGTTTCTGATCCACAAATCTTTAAATACACTAAAAACCAATGTACATTTTCGATAGGCGAACTGTATGATGTGTGAATGTCTGAAGTTATTCTTCAAAAGTGAAATGAAAGTGCAATGTTAAGTATTCAAAGTAAATTTAAATATGGAGTCATCCCCAAGCTTGAGATGAATACATTGTTCCACAAACTCATTGGATTGTTCCATAAGTCATATTTATATTAAGACTTTTAAGGTTCATTTGAAGAACATTTTTAAGTAGGCTACATTTTTCTTGCTAGTTGTAAAATATGATTTTCATTAAAAAAACTCTAGTTTGTAAATATAGAAATAAAATAAATATTTTTTACAAAAGTTTACATCCCTTCGGCTTAAATATTACATTGACTTTCATTTACAATTGGTACATATATTAAATGAATTCATTCTACACTAATATGAATGGACATGAGATTTAAATACTTGAAATGCTTTCTCTTCCCTTACATTATAAAAATATAATATAAATTATGTTACATATAAAATATAATTATATATTATAATATAAAAACAAAAGACAACTGCGGATACAAAAACAATTTATTTATATTACTGAGGTAACTATTTTCATTTTTCAATGTACCTTACAGAATATTCTCAAATGTACTCATACTTCGGCCTAATTGCAATTACCTCTAAAATATAATTTTTTTTTTTAAACATTTTATTAGGGGCTCATACAACTGTTATCCCAATCCATACACACATCAATTGTGTAAAGCGTATTTGTACATCATTTCTCAAAACATTTTCTCTCCATTTAATAAAATATAATTTTGTATTCTGCCTTTTACTCAACAAATCATGAGTATTTTCCGTATTGTGCATTCTTTGTAATTACAATTTTATGGCAATATAATTTTTAAGTGTATATCATTTATTCAGCAATTATTTCAGAGTTGGACATGTAAGTTGCTTCCAATTTTTTGATGTTGTAAATCATCTGGCAGAGGTCATCTCATTGTATATCCTTTAATGTTACTATCTACAATGAGAAGCCTAGAATTGGAAGCATTTTTATGACAGTTGACACATACTGCCAAATTACTTTCATCTCTACTTGGATGACCCATAAGCTTCTCAAGCATAGTATGTTCCCAACTGAGCTCATCATTACCACTCCCTGCCTCCACCTGTTGGCCTTTCTCTCCTCTTCTCTCCATGACTGGCAGCCCCAGTTGTTCAAGTCACAAACTCAAGCACCATCATCTTTGACTCCTGTCCTTCTTCCTACACACTCAATCCATCATCACTCTGACATTTATCCTGTCCACTCTGCTTCAAAGCCACTCTCAGCACCCTAGTTCCAAGCACCATCACCTTCAACAGGGAGTCAAACAACAGCCTCCGAAGGGTGCCCTTAAGCACCTGGTTTCTCCTCAATACTGAATTGAGTGATACAAAAACATTTATATTTGTTTGTAGAAGAGATAAATGGCATGCTTGGGAATAGATTTTGGATTTATTTGCCTTCTATGTCAGAAGAAACTGTCTCTTATTGTTTGTTTTGTAGAACTAATATGCTGAAGCATGTTGGCTCTAAGAATTTTTTGAACGAGGCTATGTATCATAGAAATAATAACTGTTATGCATGCTAAAATTATGTTTTTCATAATGTGCTGCTTTCCATTTATATAACTTTTTAAAAAGTCATTTTATTGGAGGCTGGTACAATGCTTCTCACAATTCATACATCCATCCATTGTGTCCAGCACATTTCTTGCCATCATCATTCTCAAACATTTCCTTTCTACTTGAGCCCTTGGTATCAGCTAATTTTTTCCCCTCCCTCTCCACTCCCACCTCTCTCATGAATCCTTGATAATTTATAAATTATTATTTTGTCATATCTTACTCTGCCCAACGTCTCCCTTCACCCACT